CTCCAAAGGCAGCTCTGTCCACAGGGCTCCTGAGGAGGAAGGGAACTGAGCACAGGTCCCTCCTTGCCTGAGACTGAAAGGGCTTAAGGTCAGTAGAGTCTCCGCTTGTGTAGTCTCTGACTGTTGCCGTTTGTCATGTTTGCAGAGGATGTGAAGGGCCTCCGTCAGGAGCTGCAAGCTGTAAGATCTCTCAGCAAGCAGCAATGTGAAGAAATGGCTCAAGAGCTCCGCTGGGCAGAAGAGCAGTGCTGCAAGGCTCTCAGACACTGGCAATCTGCTCAGAAAGAGGAAAAAAGGAAGCTCCAGCAAGAAATGGTAAGCGACAATATGCACGGAAGTTTTCAGGCCAACTTGGTGGGCTGGCTTAGCAGAAGAGCAGCCTGGGTGACATGGCTGCAAGCATCTGCTGCAGTCTACACATTGCTGGGCTACACACAGCAGAGGGCTTCAAGGGCTCCTACTAGAAAGCCTGTGAAGACCAAGAGGATGGTGCCGGGACAGTACCTGCAGCCTCGCTTTCAGGCTGGGTGTAAGCCAAGTTCCCCAGAGAGCTGGGTGGTTGCCACCCAAAGCATGGCAGCGAAGGATCTTGCCCACAGCCTGGTGCCATGCAGCAGACGGCTGCTGACCTTGCTGCACTCTGCAGTCCCAGCAACTGGGTTCCTTGCATTCTGTCCTTCCACGGTGGACAGAGAGTCTCCCCTTTGGGCTTGAAGCATACGCAACAGGCCCCGTGTTGCTGGTATTCCAGCTGGTGGCCTGTCTTGTGACTAGGGCATTGGGGTGCTGGCTTCCTCCTCATGCTGCAGTCCACCTGCAGGTTTTCCTTGATCCTAGGTCTGCGGCACTTTGAGAAGACAGCCTGTGAGAGCAGGCAGAAATCCTGAGGAGACAGGGGCTAGGAAACAGGCAGCCCTCAGAGTGGGGAAGGAAGGCGGAATCTCCTTTCCTTCCACCTGCTGACCCTCCTGTGAAGTTCCTGGTTAGAAGTGCTGGAGGGCACAAAGCCACTACTGGGGACTCTTCAGGTGGGGGGCTTGTGGGAGGGATGAAGCTGTCATTTTTTTCTTTGGGGAGCACGGCTGGGACTTCATCTGGAAGTGTCTCTTCCTCTCCTCAGAAGCAATGTCTGGAACGGCAGCGCTTGGAGGCGCAGGCGATGCTGGAGGAACGGGAAAGCTTCCTGGCAGAGGTACAGAGGGAGCAGGAGAAAAGGCTGCTTGAGATGAAGCAGGATGTTGCCATCAGGCAACCTGAACAAGAAAAGATAGGAACCAGAGCCAGTCAAGAGGCAGCACAGAGTGTGAAAAGAGAGTTTGTGTGTTGCTTCGGTCTCCTCTGGGCTCCTTATGGGCACTGCTTCTGTGGACACTGTCTGTCTGAGTGGGACTGCCTCTTAGCTGGCCCGTGGTGAACATGAGGAGGAGAACAAAGTGTTTTTGGAAAGCGCGCGCACCTCAGTCTTGGTGGCCACACAAGTGGTGTGTGGGACATTGAAAGGCGTCTTCTCTTTGTTCCTGTGCAGCTCCAGGGTGAGAATGCTGCTGTCTTAGCCAAGGTGCAGCAGCTGCAATGGGAGCTAGAGCAAAGCCGGCAGCAGCTGGAGCAGCTGAGGCAGCAGCTGAATGCGGAGCGTCTGAATGGGCAGGTGAGCCTGACCAGGCAGGGTGCAGAGGGAAGGGCAGTGATGGGGGCATGAGCTGGACATCTCAGGAAAGGGGAGGCAAGGACTACTGCAGGCACTGGGAGCACAGAGCCGGGCAGGCTCCAGCGCTGTGCACCAGGAAGAAGAGTTGAGGTGAAAGAGTGAGAGCTGGGTGGAGAAGCAGAATGGAAGTGCCTACGAGACTTGGAATTGAGAAGGCTGAGCATGATGGCAGGAGCTAGTGAGACTTTTCTTGACAGAATATCAAGGACAAGATGCAGGCAGAGCTGCAGAAAGCTTGGAGCGTGATGAAGGCAGTGGAGGAGAGGTGCATAGAAGAAATGGAAAGGATGTGCAGGATCCAGCTGCAGTACAGGCTGGCAGAACAACAGCAGGTGAGTGAGAGAGCAGTAGGCACTGCAGTCATGCAACAAGTGGTCTCTGCTCTTCTCACCTTTCCCCTGCAGAGCAGCAGGTGGATGGGGGCAAGGCCCCTGACTGCCAAGCTCTGTGGTCTGCGTTGCAGCTCGCCAGCACAACACTTACTGGGCCACTGAAGCACAGCTTTGCTGCCCTGGGCATCAAAGCTAGTGCTTTGGCTGGTGGGCCAGCAATCCTGTGAATGTATTTCTGCTGGCTTCTTAGTGCCCACTTTGTTTATTGAGGAGTTTGCTCAGGTGAACGTGGTGACCCATGCACATTCTGAACAAGTTGTCCCTTTCCATGGCGAATGCAGGTCTCAGAACGGGGTGAAATTTTAAGGTCTTCTTTCCCTTTCACCATCTCTGCTATGGCTGGCTGTGACAAGCTGTAGTCTCTGACTGCTTGTTTGGCTTTGACTTGAGGTGGAAGAGTTGACAGCTCAGTGTGCAGCCAAACACCAGTGTTGTTCCTGATGGCATGCCTGTGAAATGTGCTGTCAGGGGCATCTCTGCCAGCCACTTTTCTGACACAAACAAATTTCTTGTCCCAGATGGACGAGGGCTCTGCCGTTGAAGGCGCCGCTGCAGCAGCACCCTCCGAAGAAGCCTCCCCTCCGCAGCCTGAGAACCCGAGCAGGAGCAGCTGGCTCCGCTCCGGCCAGGAGAGCGAGAAGCAGTGCCTGAGGCTGCTGAGTAAGTCCTGGGGATTTCTTGTGCAATCCAGCAGTGTATTATGGGGTGTGTGCCTCAGCATGAGCTGTAGCGCATCTTCCTCCTGACCCTGGTGTCGGGGAGACATTCTGGACTCCCTACAGGAGCCATTGTTGTGCTTGGAGGCAGCCAGGGAGCATTTTGGGGCACTCCTTTTGCCTTTGAGGGCAGCTGGGTGTGGGTGGCCTTTGCCTGAGGTTCCATGTGCGCTAAAGGCAAAAGCAGGGATTGTTTCCTGAGCAGCAGAAGGCTGCAACCTAGCCAATGACTGAGTCAGCTTGTGTGTGCTGGTCTGGCCATATTGATCATAGTAGTTGGCTTCCTAGATTGCCTTTGGACTGCATTCGGAGACAAAAGACTTCAGAGAAATTGTTTGGCTGTGGGGCTGGTTTCATACTGGTGGTGTTTTCATGACTTCTACTATTCCTTCTACAGTTTGCTTGGATAAAAATTCTACAATTTTGTTAGTGTGACCTCCTTGGAAGGAGCATCAGGTGATAGCAAAACAACAGAGGAAGGGGTCTTTTCAGCACACCCCAAATGTTAAGAAATTGTATTCTTAGAACAATCCCTGGGAATCAGAGAGCAAGAGGTGTTTTCACAGTGCAGCCAACAAAGAAAAACACAATTTGTTTTTCCAATCCCTCTTGGAGAGTTCAGTTGTATGCCTAGGGAGACGCATCAAGAGACACTTCTAGGTGGCAGGGCCAGATAAAACTGCCCTGCAGGCAATTCTCAGGAGGAAGCCTGCAGCCCCTCTGCTGCATCTTCCTCCAGTAGAAGGCACTTTGTCAGGGCTAAAGCCCAGCCGGTAAATACTCTTGGGATAGTAAGGATTGGCCTCAATCCCTGCACTCTTGGAAAGCACAGCAAGGCCTTGGTGACTCTGCAGTGCAACTCAGTTGCTCCTTGCAACTGGTCATAGCTGCCAGTGCAGCGCTGTCAGAGAATAAGAAGCGGGCAGGTACAGAACAGAGCCCAGTTTACTCAGTGTCGGCCATCAGCTGTAGGGACAAGAGGTGAATGGATGGACTCCTGCTTGGCTCTGAACTCAGTGACACCCATGTTGTGTCTCCAGTGGGGTCAACAGCTTGTAGCAGTGCTCAGTCTGGCTCTGGCTTCTTCACAGTGCCTGTCAGCGGCCATTTGTGGGCTCTGCCCAGGTTTTGGTCATACCTGCCCTGCCACTGATGGCTGCTGTGACTGCAGGGGCTGGAGCCTTCCTTAGCTGTGAGGTTTCAGCAGCCACCGCGTTGCTGCAGCTTTGCCTGGACTCGTCAGAGGATCAGCATCTCGTTTGTGCAGGTGTCTGAGCCACGGCAGCGCCTGAGGAGCGGCGCTGTCCTTGTTACCCGTCTGGGCTGTGCCCTTGGGGAAGATGGGGCACGTGGCTGGTGTCCAAGGGGCCGAGGGCAGTGCCAGTGACTGCTGCAGCCCAGGCTGAAGACATGGACTTGTTGTTCTTCACTAAATGGGGAATGGGCAAAATCATCTTCAGAACTTAGCCTGCTCGTAAAAGAAGAGGGTCCTAATTCTTACAGCCATTGTTTTGGATGTAGCACAGCATGAGCTGCTGTTCTCTGAAAATGTCAAGGCATTCTTTAGGCAAACTGCTGCGAGGTAGAGGAAATCCCCTCCTCTCCTGGATTTCACTTTGCAATATTCCTTCAGCTCTGCAAAAAGCAGCTGTTGATAAAACTTCATCCCAGATGGCAGGGTGCATTGAAATCTTGGAATTCTGAAACCTTTTGTTGAACCTCACAAGAGAGTGTTATCTCTCAGGAGAATGAAGGGTCCTGATTTTTCAGCCCTCCTTCCCCCTTTGTGGACCACAAGCACTTGCCACGGTGCCAGTTCTTTTCTGGTCTCTGTCTGCTCTGACGGTTTCTCCGCGGGCTTAGTCTCCTCTTCAGAGGAGTGTGCAGAATCAGACTCTGTGCAGGCCACGTGTGTTACAGAGCTGCCTGTCTTCTTACTGCGGCTGCTCTTGTTGTTCTTGTTGACACTGTTGTTAGGCAACCGACCAGAAATTGCTCCGAGCCCCTGAGAGTGGAGCTGAGATTCTGATCCACTGGAAGTCAGGATCTCTGTTTTGAAGTTTGCTTCTTGCATTTTCTTTCTTTCAGGGAGTGTGGTGAGCGGGGCAGATCCAGAAAAGAAATACACTGGATGGAAAATTATTGGCAGGGGGTGAGTTCAGCCACGCTTACTCCTCCAGAACCATGAGTCACGTACGTGGCTGCTGGAATATCAAGAGGGAAGTCAGGCAAGCTGCAAGCATCTTCAGACCCTGGCTTTAGATTGTCCCTGTCTCAGTACTGGTCACAAGGCATCATCAAAGATAACTGCATGCTGGCAACCAATGTCTTGCCTGCCCTCAAGGAGGCACTTGCCTGTCCCTCAAGCGTGTGGCACGAGATTCCTTATTTTCCCAGCAGATCATGGTTTTGCCTGATTCTAAGTAATATGGCCCCACAACTGAAGGAAGAAAAAACTGAGAGAACAGCTTCCCCCCTGAGAGCCGTCAGACAGCAGCTCTCAGCAGCATTTCTTTCCAGTATTTTGCTGAACACAACTTTCAGTGCTCAGGACAATAAGACAGGCTGTGTGGCGCTGCCTGAGTTTGGCAGGCAGAATCAAAAGAGAGCTCTGAGTGCAACAGGACTGTGTGTGTTTCATTGCTTGGAAAGGCGCCCCACACGCACAAGCGCAAAAAGGAAGAGGCAAAGCAAACCCTCACATCCATAGTCTAGTGTGTACATTTGAGATTTGTAGCAGCTCTTTTTTCTTCCTGTTGGACTCAGTTTGCTCTTGGACAAGCTGCATGGCAGAGGGTTGCTGGGCTGCTGTGGTATTGTCTGAAGAGTAGACAAAGGCTGGTGTTTGAGGGACGCTCCAGGCAGCAGAGAGCTCCTGCCTGGGCTGCCTTTTGCTTCTCAGCACTGAACAGCTCCTCTGTTCTTGCTGCTGTTCTGCTCCTAGGGGTTTTGGAACCGTTTATAAGGCCTTGGATGCTGCCACAGGACAAGCGGTAAGTGCCAACAGCCCTTGCAGATTTCGCAGCTCTTGAGCGCTTTCCCTTGGGATGTCATCTGTGGCCAGAGCTTTGTGTTACCGGTCTTTGCTGCAAAGGCTGCCTAGAGGCAGGCTGGAAAATGCATGGTGGACAGACTTTGTCTCGCATTCTGAATCAATGTGAGGATGGCAGTGGTGTCTTTCCAAGAAGACCATGCTGTCTTGGACTGACTGGATAAGTGTGCAGAGATTAGCTGATGGCAGCAGCCGTCATTCTGGCCCAATTGCTCTTAAGCCCAGGTTGAGACACAGATAGGATTTGCCATTGTTTCCCATCACGAGGTACACTTTGAAAAGACCTAAAGATGGAGAGGCCTTGTCTGGAGCGCACTTTTGCCTTGCAGTCCTAGGGAGCCAGGGTCACACACACACACAGACACTGGCACACGGATCAGTGAGAAGAAGTTGATGAAGAGCCTTAAGTAATACCGCCTTGTGTTGGTCCTTTGTTGCTGACATTCCATTACAGAGATGCTTTTTGTGCTGAACTGACATGCTGGTGTCTTGGAGAGTCCCATGCTCTTTGGGGCTAACCATTCAGAGTCCTGAATTCTCCTTTCTGGCTCTCAGCAAATACAACTCCATCTTCCTGGTAGCTCCTTATCCACCTGCAGTGCTGTGCTCAGCAACTGCACTTGGAGGGATGTCTACAAGGAGTCTGAAAGCCCTAAGCCCTGCTTATCACCTGGAGTGCATCCGTAGTGGTCCACAGAAAGGATTCTTCATTTTTTAATGCACTCAATCATTACACATCTAAACCGTGTTGGGGAATGCTCTTCAGAGATGCAAAATCCAGAAGAAGTCAGGATGTGCTAGGATGTTAACTTTCCTTTGAGTTGCCTTGGAGTTGTTCTTTTTCAGACAGCATTTTCTCTGTAATGGATTGGTGTATTTACTTTGGAGCACAATCAAGAATGGCAGCAGTTTCTGAAACACTGATCAAATCCCCTAGAAATGCTAACCTATTTTCCACAAGTTGAGTTTCATTTCACAGAAGCAAAATTCCTTTGGCTTGCAAAACGCGTGTAAATGATAAGAGTAGTGAGAAAGGAGGTCTCACGGAGGAGTCTGCAAGGGCTGAGAGTGCTGTTAGCACATTGTGGCTGATGCTTTAGAGTCCCTTTTCACCGAGGTGACAAGGCATCCTGGCCCGTGAGTGCACGGAGGAAGAGGCTCTTGTAATGTCTGTTCCTAACGGCTTTCAACGTCATTGTAGGTGGCCGTAAAGGAAATTAATCTCCAGCACCAGCGCTGCAAGGAAGTATTGAAAGAAATCCTGGTCATGAGGGAAATGAGGAACCCCAATATTGTCACCTACCTAGAAAGGTAAGTAGTTCTGTATTTTTATGGGAATGTCAGTTTCCATACTTGCAAGACAAAGGTTTCAAGCACTTTGCTCGGTGGCAGAAAATTGATCTTGCTATGAACATCAGTCCACTGCTGTATGAGGCATGGGAGGAGATTGCATTCTTCTGGTTCCTGGCAGAAATAGCTTAAAGATAGTTCTCAGAAACCTGGCTCTCTTACTAAGCCAGCAGCCTCGATGATCACTTGCTGAATGTTCCTTTGCTGTTTTGGGGCGTGATTGTTTTTCTGAGTGTCGGAAGAGAAGTGCTGAGAAAGCAACCCAGAAATTATTTCCCTTGTGCTGTTCCCACTATTTTCTATTGCCTTGCATGCCAAAAGGCTAGCCAAAGAGACACATTATTTGCCGGGTTTGAAGTAGTTTTTTCCTGTTGGTGACTGTCCTTTATGCAAGGCTTCCCAAAGGGTGTTGGCAGTGCTGCACCTCCACCTCCCCTGTGAAAAAGCTGTGAAAACTGTGTCTCCTTGCTGTTGGAGTTAATGGTGCAATTTGTGTATGAAGACAATGGGGCAGCTGCTGGGATGTGTCCGCTTCCAGATCTGCCTCTGCTATCACAAACTGCCGTTTTCCCCTGCTTGCCCGCTAAGCCGTCTCCTTTCCCACGGGTGTGCGATTAGATGGCACAGATTGCAAGCTCTGGATAGCCTGGGTGGAGCGTCTCTCCATTTTATTCCGTCTTCATTTCCCAGTGACCTGCAAGCAAAACTCAGCTGTAGTCTTTTCATCCGTATGGCAATTTAGCTGTGCCCATTTCGGTCTACGCTGTTGTTTTCATCTTCCAGCTACCTTGTCAATGAGTTTGTCCTGCTGGTGTTGGAGTACATGGATGGAGGCTCTTTAGCAAAAGTGGTCAGCGAGAAAAGGATGGCTGTAGGACACATGGCAACTGTCTGTCAGGAGGTAAGGGATCCTGCTTGTGCTTGGGATGCCTTGGACAGCCTCATAGTTCAAAAGCGCCGCTAAGTGAGTGATTCCGTGTTCAGAGCTTTCTTGCTGTGCCGCTCTTTTGCTTCAGAGAAGAAAGAGCATCTGGACGGAATGCCTGCCAGTGTCCCTGCCCTTACTATAGTCTGCTCTTTATCTGCTTTTGGCCTCTGTGCTCTCTGTCTCTCTTCAATTATTTTGTTTTCTGTTCTGCGCTTTGCCCCTCCAAGCCTTTGCCCAGAACCTTTCTGCATTGCCTTCTTTGCCTGTAAGCGCAAAGATGCCGGTGTGTGAGTTCTAAACCAACAGCAAAGGCAAAGAGAGACTCATCTCTCACGGGTCTCAGCTTCAAAGGAGGGCATGGCACCCACCACAGTTCTTGCTGCTGAAAACGGACAAATGACTTGAAATGTCTTTCAAATCTGCTGGCCAGGCAGCCTTACAGCCCTTTACCTCCAGTCTCCCACCTGAGAGTGATGCCCTTGGTACCCAGAGCAGGGACTTTTCCTCTTTTGGCCAACCGTTGTTTGTCCTCGGAATGGGGAGAGCGCATCGGCTGCAGCAGCGGTCATTCTGACTGGCTTTGCAGGGGACAGTCTCGAGCAGCAACTGCTGTTTCCCCCTCAAAGCCAATATGCCTTGCCTTAGAGAGATCCTGCGCTCCCAGGCTTGCAGCAGCAAGCTCTTCCTCTTGCCAGCACTCACTGCTCCTCTGAGATCCATGAATCTTCAGGAGCACTTTCCTTTTGCGCGTGATGAACTCAGATCAGGCTAACTTTTGGCCTCCTGCTTCTTTTTTTCTCTCTCAGTGCCTGAAAGGCCTGGCTTTCCTTCATGCCAACCAGGTGATCCACAGAGACATCAAAAGCGACAACATCCTTCTGGGCCGGGATGGCTCCGTCAAGTTGGGTGGGTATTCTTGCTCAGGGCACAGCTGTAGGCTGCTGGGAGTCTGAAAGAGCAACAAGTATCAAGGGGAACTGTGGTTTGTGTGTATCCCTTCCAGAGGGAGGGAGGCTACAGTGGAAACCTTCAGTGTAGATGAGGAAAAGCCACCACCCTGGGAATGGTGGTGGGTTTGTTAAATGGACAATTGCTAGTTTCCTTGGCTGCATCCCTGAGGAAAGAGAGCACAGCTGCTTTTCCAGCTCGATTCAGTACTACATTCTGAGACTTAGAGTGAGGAAATCTTTTCCTTGGTTTCCTACTTGAAGCAGTGTTTGTTTTTCTCCTCAGCTGATTTTGGCCTCTGTGCTCTGCTCACACCTGAGCAGAGTGAACGGAGGTCAATGGTGGGGACAACTTGCTGGATGGCACCCGAGGTGGTGAGAAAAGAGTCTTACGGTCCCAAAGTGGACACCTGGTCCCTTGGCATCGTGGGAATTGAAATGGCCAAAGGAGAGCCTCCTTATGTTTGGGAGACCAGTGACAGGGTAAGGTACAAATATGCTTCCGAATCCGGTATCCTTCTGGTCTGTCTCCATTAGACAAAATCCCATTCCCGCAGCTTGGATGAGTTCCAAGAAGGTCCACTCCTAAAAAGGTCCCTGCGGCTCACATCAGCTGTCAAGGCAAGACCTGTTGCCCCTTGGAATAGCTGGAGTTGCACTGGGGCCTTTTCACTTTTGGGGAAGAAGGCTCGTCTCTAACCATCTGCTAGGCAAGGAATTGCCACTGCAGACTGGGGTTGAAAAGAAGGGGTCTAGGTGAGCACTGAAGGCTGTGGAAGAATCACGTAGAGTCTTGTGTTTCCTTTCACTTCAGGCTAACCGCCTGATAGGCACGCAAGGCATACCAGATCTGTACGAGCTCAGCCTACCCCCAGCCTTGTGTGAATTTCTGGGCTGCTGCCTGCAGATGGATGTGGACAGGCGAGGCTCTGCCAAGGAACTTCTGCAGGTACAAGGCAAAGGGGCTGCAGGCCAAAGAGCTGCTCCCTGTCTGGGTTTGCTCCTCGGCCCAACTCCAGGGCATCAGATGGGTCCCACACAGGGTAATCTCTGCTCTGGCAGCTTTTCAAATGAGAACCAAGTAGGATCCAAGACTAGTTAAGGTTAGAAGGGAGTGGTGGAGGTCATCTAGTCCAAACCCCCTGCCACTGGCAAGGACATCTTCAAATAGGTCCGGTTGCTCAGAGCCCCAGCTCACCTGACCTTGAATGCTGACAGCGGGGCACCTCCCAGCTCTCTGGGCAGCCTGAGCCAGTGTTTCAGCACTCTCCTCATAATGAGTTTCTTCCTTAGAGCCTTTCTGAATTGACTCTCTTTTAGTTTAAAACCATTCTCCCTTTTCTCTCAATTGGCCCTACTAATAGATATGTCGCCATCTTTCTTCTAGGCCCCTTCAAATATTGAAAGGTCCCCTTGGAGACCTTGCCCTTCTGCAAGCTAAACAAGCCCAATTCTCACAGCCATTCCTCAGAGGAGAGCTCCCACCTTCTGGTCATTGCTGAGGCCCCCTTTTGCTCTCGGCTGCTGTTTTCAGGTTTAGCTGGTAGCAAAGGAACTGAAGTACAGCAGTGCTGGGGAAGGAGGCCTGCAGTGGGGCTTGAAGAACACAACAAAAGCACTCCCTGCCAAGCGCTTCTAGATTGGTCTGTGGGAAGGTGGGGCCTTTGCGGGGGCTGACTGAGCATCCAAGGGCATCCAGTTTGTCCTTCCTGCCCCACTCTTAGAGGCTTCTGCCAGCCAAAGAGAGACAGCTGAGCAGGATTTGTGCCAGCCTCATGTGCTGCCTGGCCCGCTCAAGTAGATGAGAACCACTGCAGCTTTGCTGCCACCTTTTGTGGCAGACAGGCAGCTGGCGACCGCGCCACTTCCTTGGCTCTCCCTGCTGTGAAGGAAGATGCCAGCCAGGCCAGGAGGAGGGGGGCATGCCAAGGCAGAAGACACTGCTCTCCTTGCAAGCCAGAGCTGAGTCCATCTGCGCTCTGCCCCTTCTGTCGGTGTGTTTCTGGGCCCTAGAAGAACCCAGCTTGACCCTGTTGGAAGCTCAGTTTGGAAAATAATGGTTCCTTCTCCCTTGGTCTCTTTTAATTTGGTTGCTTTGGTTTCTTTTTCCCTTTGGGCAGCATCCATTTCTCAAGCTAGCGGAGCCTCTCTTCAGCCTCCTCTGAGAGCCTGATTGCTGTCATCCCTGCAGCAAAGTAATGCAGGAAGCAGAGGAGATGACAAGGACCGCTTCAGCACCAAGAGAACGGAGCCTCTGAGAACAGGCAGGAATCCTGGGGAGAGAGGGCCCAGCAAACAGGCAGACTGAGACAGAGCGGGAAAAGAAGGTGCCACCTCCTGTTCTCCCATCTGCTGGTCCTTCTAATTTTCTGCTTAGGACAGCATAGCTGGAGGGCACAAAGTCACTAATGTTGTGCAGATTTGAGCAAGGCAGGAGTGGCATTGCAGGCGTGAAGGGAATGGGAAGGCCAGAGCTGTGTCTCAGGAGAAGGGAGCTCCCACAGGATGCCACCGGCAGAGCCAGGCTAGAGCTGTGGGAGACGGCTGGATGTTCCCAGCTGCGGAGGAGGTGCCTGAAGCGGCTGGAAACATCCTGTGCATTCTTTGACCCATGGAGCAGGGTGCTGCGTCTGTGCTTGTCTGGCCAAATTGTTCAGAATAGTTGGCTTCCCGGTTTCCTTTCAGACTCCTGCCTTGTTGGCAGTCACTGGAAACAAAATTCTTGAGAGAAATGGATTGGCTTTGGGGCTGGTGGCATACTGGTGTTGTATCATGACTGTTTCATGACTTCTACTATTCCTCCTACAGATCACCATGCAACTCTCCACTCCAGATGCTTTTCAAATGAAAAGGAAGGAAAGAGGCAGTGAATCAATTGGAGAAGTGGAGCACATGACCAGGAGCACTTCAGGATTCCTTTCTCCGATGCCAGCTCGGAGCCCACCTCAGAAGAAAAATCCTAGACATCCACAAGCCATTTGGAAGAATCCCTTCCTTGACCATTCCAGGCACACCTCTGTGGCTCATTGGTGTACCCATGACTGGCAGCAAAGAGGGGGAATGTCCAGTGCCACAGCCAGCTTGGGCCGTTTAAGGTTGACCCATGAGATGCCAGGACCGTGAGCCAAGGCCTGGGTGGGCTCACCTAGAAATTGTGTGCAGACTTGGAGGCAGGTGCCACAGGCAAAGTCCATCAGTTTTGCCTGTCCGCTGGCCAGGTGGAGGAGGATGTTGTCAGCTTTGATGTCCCTGTGCAGGACCTCGCAGCTGCTGCAGTGCCTCACAGCCTCCAGCACATGGCGGAACAGCCCCCGCACCAGTCTGCCGACAGGAATGCCGGCACACGAAGGAAATCAAAGAGGTCGTGGGATCGCTCTGGGCGCTTTATCACCAACAAGAAGTTTTGGCAGCGCCTAAACCAATCCAGGAGCTGGACAACACCATGCAACCCAGTGGACACCCAGCCCAGCAGTTTGATCTCCAGGGGCACGCAGGAGTTGGGCTGCTGGAAGACCACGATGCTGTCAGTGGGACTGATGCCGTAGCAGGGCTCTGGAAGCTCTCAGCCATCCTGGGATGCTCTGTGCCCTCTACTAATCGCCCTTTGCTCTCCCTCGAGGCGTGCTGGCGGCTTCCACCCTGCCGAGCCTCAGCTTATCCCGCCCAGCACACCCCGGTTTCTGCTGCTGACCCCACTCCCTCACCAGCTCACCCCAAAGATGGGTGCAATCCCCTGACACACATTTGACGGCCACCTGCTAGCCAAGGGGAGCAGCGGGCTGAGCTTCCAGCCCGCTCTGCCGAGCCCCATCCTCCTCCCCCCTCACCCTCCTCTGCCCCCCGCCAGACCCCCACTCACCGGGGCGCTGTGCTCCAGGCACGTCCCCTTGCAGACGCTGCCGAAGCCGCCGCGCCCCAGCAGAGAGCCCAGCCGGTTTCACCCCTGCAGGGCCTCCTGTGCCTTCCCGGCTGGCGGCGCTCGGCCCGGGTCCAGGAACGGCCCCCGACCGCCCCTCAAGTGTCCCAGGACAGGCAGCTCTGTCTGAATGGGGCACCCTATTTCTCCTGAGCTCTATCACCAGCTGTCCTAAGCAGAAATGGCAAGTTTGGAAAGAAATTGAAATCTATGCCTTAAATGTCAGACAGGCTCAGGAGACCCATTAGACAGTCCGAGGTGTGCTTCTGAAGGAGACATTTCACCCTGGCTGCAATATGCACGCAATCTTCTCTTGGAAGATCTCAACTTTTATCTGATTAAAACTTCTGAAATGGAAAATTTGAAATCTGAGTGCGATTCCTTTATTCCTACTGATGTGGACACTGAAGTTTTACAGCCTTCACTGAAGAGCCTTCAGAGCGGCAGCCAAAGCAAGCACTGCAGCTGCTGCTGCTGTGCCAGACAGCCCCGGCTGGGGAGGGATGGCCTGACCGTGCCACGGGCTGCTTCTCCTTCCACAGCCTGGCGGTGCTTTTGAGCCAGTAATGACAAGTGGTAGGAGAACAAAGGAGACTTTTCCAGCTCCAGCACTTACGGAGGCATTAGGGCCACCTTCAGGGCAGAGTTCCGGCTTGCAAAAATAAAGCAGAAGGACACAGTTGGAAAATGCCTCCCTTGAGGTCTTCTTCTGTGTTGGAAAGGAGGGAGCCAAGTGCCGGGAGGAGCAGCAGGGCCCGGTCCCTCCTCTGTGCCTGCAGTGAGGGGCGGCTGCCGCTGGGCGGCGCCGTGGGAAAGGAGAGCCCCTGTGCGGGGTGGGCGGGGCGGGGCAGCCGCCAGGGGACGCCCGGGGCAGGGCGGGGCCTGTCTGTGAAGGGGGAGAGCCTCGGGCAGCTACATCAGGGCAAAGCACAGCGCCAGGGCAAAGCACAGCTGTAGGGCAAAGCACAGGGCCGAGGTAGAGCAGAACGCCAGGGCAACGCACACGCCAGGGCAAAGCACAGCGCCGAGGCAAAGCACAGCGCCAGGGCAATGCACAGCACCGGGCAATGCAAAGCGCCAGGGCAATGCACAGTGCCGCGACAATGCACAGCTTCAGCGCAGGCTGACCAGCAAAGGAATGTTCCCGTGGAGTGCAGGATTTAGGCCTTTTGATTGCCAGTCCTGTGCTGAGCTGGCCCAGCACAAAGCCTCCTCAAGCCCTGCTGCCTCCTCTGCAGGCTTCCTGCAAGGCCTTTGCTGACTGGGTCCAATCAGCCAGGCTGGAGGCAGGCTCAGCTGATGTTGCAAGAGCTGCTGTCCAAAACAAAAAACTACAAAAGCCAAACCAGAAAGGCACTATTAGTTCCCAGGCCCAGTTCCTCCCAGGCGGAGGCCGGATTCCTCTGGTTCCCGGAAAGATGCAGGAATAGGACATGAGGGCACTTTGTGCCCCTTACCTTCATGTCCAGCACCTTGCCATTGCAGGCCAACTTAGCTCAAAATCACAGTGGCCCCTTTATCCAGAGTCTTCAGCTTGTTGGGATTTTCCCTGTGGGAGCAGCCTGGGAATGCTGCTTGCTGTCACAGGGCTTTGTTCCTTGCAGGAAACTCCAGAGACTCACTTAGGTCCCTCCTGTCTAAAACATGGCCTGGGTTAGCTGCCAAGAGGATGAGCAGTGTAAATCGTTCCTCAGCACATGCCAATCTCTGTAAGAAATGCTGATTCCAGTGGGATTGAGGTGTTGTTCTCAAGAGCACTGCAGTTCAGGCTTTCAGCAGCAAGACAAGAGCAGGCAGCTTGGCAGGCCTCCAGCATCCCCAGCACTCACCTGCCTTGCAAATTCCTCTGCTTCCTGTAGCCATGGGCTGAGGCCCTGTTCCTGACCTGCGGCCTTCTCCGGTTCCCCATGGCAGTGGCACCTGTTTGCTCCTGCCTGTGGCATATTGTGGGGAAGTCTAGAATGAAATGACAGCGGAGCATTGCACAAAACCTGAACTTTGGATCATTTGCCCCATTTGGTGGTTGCAGCCATCCCCAGCAGACATGGAGTTTGCAGTTCTGTGAGCTGTGCCATCCAGGAAGGAAAAACTAAGTTGGCCCAGGAAAAGCGCAATCAATGTACTAAGCTCCTGCAGGCCAGAAATGAGAGTGCAGCAAAGGACTGAAAAATGGAGTACTATGCAGTATGCACTGTGGGCAGGATAGAGACTTAAAAGCCGCTTCCGTGGAGGAATCTGACCTTGCCCATTTCCCACAAGCTGAAGGGAGTGGGCTTCTGCAAAGGCACCAGGAGTGCCTTCAGTGTTGGACAGAGAACTTTTTCAGGAGAAGAGCTGCCTTGGGAGCTGGAGAGAAGGAGCAAATGCGCCCATGCGTGCACCCACAGAGTGAGGGCTGCTCCAAGGGCACTCCCTGCCATGCCGAGGACACGGGCACTGCCCCGTGCAGAGGATGTGTCCCTGTCATATTGACAACACCAACACTTTTCCAGTGCCATGCAAACACCTCTGGGTAGTTTGTTACTCAGGTTACTTTCTCCACTAAGGTGTCGTTCTTCCTTGAGCGAGCCCTAGAGTTTTCTGGTAGATGTTAGCCATGCAGTAAGTGGGCAGGAAGGAGAGGCAATCCAATTTAGGGAACTCTCAGGGATATTACCAAGGCGTGATTTTATCCACAGAGCTGAAGCAAGGGTTGCTTGTTTTAGTCAGAAGCATTGGTGGCCAAAGTGCTGTGTGTGTGCGCGCTTGGTGCCTGCTTTGTGTTCCTTTGGGATCCCTTGAGCTACGGGTTATGGACTGAAGGAGAGGATTGTGCTGCTTTGGGACGGAGGAGAACTTTCCAGGCTCTCTTTTGTGTTAGCTGTAGAGAAGGTTTGGTTGCTAGGCATGAACTGACAGAGCAACCCAGAGCTGCTGCTATTGTGATGTCAGTGCAGAGCTGCCACGTCACAGCGTGGTCATCAGGAGGTTGCCCTGGTGCAGGCAAGGCCTCAACGTCCAGAACAGCTGTTGGCGTTCTCGTTGCAGGAGGATCCTGTTCAGAGGAGTTCTCTGCCAACAGTCTGTGCCCTGAAAAGGGAGTCTTTTTCTTTTGCCTGCCGTTGTACGAGTC